GGGGGGGAGGAGGTCACCTGTTTATTTGTATGCAGTTCCAAATGTTTTATGGTCAAAGGATTTACGATAATCGCTCCTTACCATAGGGATAATGTTTTACTCAAAGCCTATTTTCAATGCCAAAATAAAAGCCAATTGCTTTCATGATGTAGATGGAAATGTTTGATCCTCAACCCACGTCCACGCGCATTTGACCCAGCCCATTTTTAGAAAGCGGATTAACGATTTGTGGGAAATTAATCTACAACAAGTACGAAATCTCCTACCTTCAACTTTGAGACTACCTTGAATAATTATATGTTGCTTTAATATGGCAGGAAATGTTATCCTAAATTCTAATCTATGCTCTATAACCTCGTGCGAGAAATTGTCATCAAGTACTTGAAAGATTATTTTTAAAAAATGAGAATGCACTTTTGGTTACATGATAAAAATGAAACTAATAGCCCATACTTATAAAACGAGGTTACAAAAATTAATTCCAAAGGATTATTTCCTGTTACTTTCATAGGGGTCAGTAAGAACCAGCAAGCAGCCTATAAGCTGCCTAATTCGTTCTATTTCAGGTAAAATAGCCCAAACATTCATTCGCTCAACTTAACCCAGAGTAAAATGAAACTACTTAGCCTATCTGAATGGGGAAGATAGTATACATTAAATATTAATCCTTAGTTTTAGCTTGTGAATGAATTACGCATGAATATGAGAGACACCAATTTAGTCTAATAAGTACTTAAGGAAATTATCTGTAGCTACGACTTAAGAAAGATCATCATAAAATCCCCCCCCCCCACTTCCAGACTCAATTTCCCCCATTTTACCGCTGTACATTCCGATGTTCTGAGTCTCAAATATGAGGATCTGTTCTATAAACTGGCTACTGACTTCTGACTCCAAACTACCACAACCCCACTGTATGTCAGATTGCATCATTTTCACATTACTCACCTTACCTTTTTATATATCTTTGTATCTGTTTCTCGTATATCTGTAAATCACTCTTCTATTCCTCCTCTCGACTTCTTGTGACTTCGATGTTCACCCACCCCCTCCCTCTGTGAAACCCGAAGTCAACTAACAACCATAAAGCCTGCCATTTGATATTAAAAAAACATATCTGAACTTACCAAAAACCTCTCCCCGACTGGCATATTCCATCACCATGTAGATATTTGCATCCGTCTCCATAATGTGATACAATCTCACAACGTTAGGATGTCGGTAGCACATCTTCATAGCCTCTAGTTCCCTCGCCATTTTAGCAAGATTCTGTCCACCAACCAGTTCCTTATTGATAATTTTCACAGCTACGGGTACATTGAGTTGGGTGTGGGTAGCCAACTTCACAACAGCAAAGTTTCCACGACCCAGCAGACGTTCCATTCGATAGGGACCTACACAAGTTCCTGTGGAGAGGGGGTGGCTCATCAAATGCAATGGGATTTGAAAGGGATCCGCGGCGGAGCGAGTAGGAAGTAATCGGGGAAAGTAGGTAGCCATTATGGCGGGCGAGTGAAAGAAGCTGGGCAGATCTAAAAAGCCATCAGTCCAATTAGAATTTGGTAAACAAAAAGTATATGAAAATTTCTGACTTTATCAAAATGAGGCAGTCTGTAAAGCCTACAACGCTAACATGGCTTTGCGTCGCTATTTACAACAATTTGGTGACCCAAAAAACTGATGGCATTTTATATCTCTTATCCTAACAAGAGTAAAGAGAAATTTTGATTTTTTTCAAGCCAGAGAATCGAGTGTATAATTAGGTTTTTTTTCATTTTAAACAAAAAAATCATCAGTACTTTCCCCAATGCAAAATTGATTTGTGTGCTCATGAAGAATCACCCCGTCTTTCAAATTACATTTTAACTTGTCCCTTTTAAACCAAACTCTTGAACCTTTGTCTGGGTTTGGAGAGGCAGACGGACCGATCACCGGAGTTAAACTATGTCGGGCCGAGTTAGTACTTTCGTGGGTGACCGACTGGGAATACCCGGTGTTTGCTGACTTCTTTGGGGTGTGCGCCCTGGGCAACGAATACTCATACGGCAAAAAAGTCCATCAAACCGACAGCTGACTTCTGATTTCAAACTACCGGCACCCCACTGTATGTAATATTCGACCACTTTCCCAGTACTCATCTTACCTTTTCTCTGCCTTTGTGTCTGTCTGTCTCGTTTACATCTATGAATCACTCTTCTGCTCCCCCCCCCCCACCATATCGACTTTTTGTCACTTTGCTGTACCTCCTTCTCACTGTGAAGCCCGAAGTCAGCTAAAGGGCCAATGATGATTATCAAAACGCCTGTCATTTGATAGAAATCTTGAGATAACCAGCGATTGTTCTTTATTTATATACTCTGAATACAAAACATTCTTCTTGACTAAAGTATACCTCTCAGTTTACCACCAATCATGGCCTTCTTTGGTCTCCATGTTGGAAAGATAGTTCTCAGAAGCGTTGGAGGGCGATAGCTTGGAGAATTTTCGATTCTTTAGGCAGGTGATCTTTATCTCTAGAGAATAAATTTAAAGTCTCTCCTTCATCCAACTTGTGGCCACCGACTCCCTACTGTCACCACCTGCTTGATCTCCTCTCAAGACCTCAAACCGAGCAGCCGGTATCCCTAATATCCAGCTTGTTGTGAGCACACAAATGGACTTGGACTCTCTAGTGTAGTACTCGTGATGATCTGTCGATAACACGTCTATGACTTTGGAAGCCCTACCAAGTCCTAACGGAAATATATATGGCCCTCTTAAAATATACAACTCATCTTCTATGTATAAGCCTCGTATCTCCTTCTTGTTTTCTGGCCTTACCTTCTGGCATGCTTTCCAATGAAAGTCATCAAAGATTATAAAGCTAACCTAAAGGAATATCCACGCGAAAATAAGATGCATTAACCGTTAGTCAAACCTTCTGAGACTACTGCACAATTTAATTTCTACACTTGCAAACTATCTGTAGAAGAAGAAGACCAAACTAGGAGCCTAGTCGGACAAGATGAACGCATTTGTCAGTATCTAGACCAGTATGGACGTTCAGTGAACCCTATGCGATGCAATCCGATGCGAGATATGCTTAATAACGATCTCCCTCACATTTAACTCTTATTTCTCGTTCTACCTTTCTACCTTTTCAATCATTAGGATCTTGACATGTCTATATAAAGTTTAATAATAAATCCTCATTTCGACCACGCTTACAACACACTAGTTGGCACATTAAGGTGTGTCAATACGGTTGTGTTGGCAAGAATTCCACACATACACACACATACATATGTATATATATATATATATATATATATATATATGCACGCAATCTTTCCAGCACGACTCGCAATCAAAGTCCTGCATTTCCCACATTCTCTCATTGATTTCTACCATTTCTTTTAACATGAACAATGGAAACTCACATTTTTTCATCCCCCGCAGTTGGTGATTGTATGTAACTGACGGCTGCGAGTGGATAGGACAGAACACGCCTTCAAAAAATTGAACAAAAATTAGACATTAACGCCTCGGTTGTCTACTACTTAAATCACTACTTAAGTCAATATTTGTTTGTTTCAATAAATGGCATGATAGGGAGCCTGTCACGATAAGAAGACAGGGACAAAGAGGAATGGACCATAATATGGTTTCAAGGTGTTCAAGGGTTAAGATTTTCGTTAATTATAACCTATGTAATGCTAGAGACTTTTTTCCAAGTTCACAAATACCTTCAGCAATTGCTTAAATGAATACCTACCTTTTTGAAATTACATTACAACTTCAATTTTTAAGAATTGAGAGTCATACATAGATAAATGTTTCATTTGAGTTCGAATAAGCGAATGAAAGAAAAACTTCGAGAAAGCAAACTGTGGCACCGAAATTACAAAACCAAAATGTGCAGTGAATATTCAAAGATTCACAAAGGAAGGAAAACAATATTTGAACTTGTAGGGTGCGCGATAGACTTTCCTCCATGTGTGCACCCTGGGCAACGTATGCTCATACGGCAAAAATGTCTATCAATTGGTAGTTGACTTCTGGCATCAAACTATCATCACCGACCGTATGATATATTCGTCTACTTCCATAGTACTCATCTCACCTTTTTTCTACCTTTGTGTCTATCTCTTTTATATCTTTGAAACGCTCTTCTATTCCCACCCCCTTCTCGACTTTTTCACTTTGATGTTCCTTCCCCTCTGTGAAGCCTGAAGTCAACTAAAGGGCTAATGATAACTATCAAAACGCCTGCCATTTGATATAAAAAAATAAATATTTGAACTTGCAAAATACTCTATTATTGATTTTCAAATAATTTTTTCAATCTCCTGACACAACATTTCCTACGGTTCATTGATTATGTGGGCTCATTTGACCTTTCAATAGGTCAAAGGAAAAGATATCACGAACATCGAATATATCGGAATCATGGCAAATAAAGTGCTGTCTACTTTTGCCCCGAAATAAAACGGTAAATTTTGAATTTTGATGAAGATAGGCATTTAGTGGGAATAGGAATAATAAACTGCCTGTATTACAAAGGGGCCTTTGAGTCCAGTTAGAGACCAGGTCTGCGTAAGTTCATCTATCAGTGGACAAATATTTGAAATTACTTAAGAGAATGAGATTAGAATTTATTGTTAAGGAAGCATAAATATAAACCCCCAAAGCTTACAGAAAATACACCAGAATTGTCCTTTGCTTCTATTAAGCCATTAAGACCTACAATGTCACAAAAGCCATTACTGACAATGATAGTCAGTCACTGAAGACATAACTTGGAAATTGTGTAGCGGCGCAGTCTAACAAGATAAGGTGATAGGCGAGTGCACTTCCATGTTGTCTTGACAACGAAAGCGACAACGTTAGTGAAAAAGGACTGGGTGGCTGAAACTTCAACCCCCCCCCCCCCATTCCAGTAGAAATTGCTAGAACTAAACAAATAAGTAACAGCAAAAGTTGAGTATTGGCACCAATTCGGAAGACCAAAAGCAGGAATTAGAAGATGAACGGGAAAGGAAATTTAAGAGAAAGAAAACAATTATTTCTTAAAATTAAATTTTATTTTGTTTGAAAGAGTTAATTTTGATTAAGAAAGTAGTGAATATATCATGGAAATATTTATGAACTCATAAACTTCCGTTCTCAAGCCAATCATCGTGTCAAGTAGCTGGGAATGGAGTCATGTGTAGTTGGAACTTGGGAGTTTGGGTAATATTGACGTTCAATCGTCTGGATTATGGACAGTGAAGCGCCTCACTCACTGAGCTTTGTAACATTTGTGCTTTCCTGTCCACGATTGTGGATCGCCCGAGATATAATTCAATGAGATAAATAGGCGTTTCTTCGCATGTCTTAATTTAACTATATTTAAGCTGCAATATTTACTATGAGGAGGCTTCTTATTATTATGGAGAAAAACAGTAGATCCGAAAAATCGATTCAATAGACCTAAATATTCGATACCAAGGTCAAGCTTTGCAACATTCATAACTCCACTTTTATCACCATTGTGTAATGAGCATACTACTATTTGGTGTTTTATATCTTCCTACCGGTATAATAAAATGAACGCTATTCCATTTGGGGTAATAAATTTGCCCCAAATATGTTCGTTGTGGCAAGGAGCCATGCCTGGATAGATATTCCTCAACTTCAACCGATTAGACTTTCATCCAAAGAATTGCAGGCGCATTGGCAGTAACAGTCTTGTTAATCTTGCCAGTTATTTCAATGGGGCTGAAAAGAATTTATGTCCAACACATTTTAAATTTTCACTGAACCGTCAGAATAAAACAGATGCCTCGATAACCACCGAGTTTGTTGCGATTGAAGTGAATTATGTCGAAGAAATGATTCGGAAGAAATGCATGCAGAGCCCATACTCAAGCAACTCAACTATCTCTTGAACGAGTGCAAACTTCCTAATATCTTCGACTGATTATAATTTGTGAATCAGTTATTAAGCGCCATTTATCTAGTTGATGGAGCACAACACTTGACATTTTGAGGGCAAAGTGTCTATTGTGTAGATATTGTGAAAGTAAATGTGAGATAAAGAGAAGTAGGACTCTTTGAGCTCTTTGTCGTGGATCGATTCAAGTTACTTTCTGAGGAGGATATATTCGAATATTTTGCATATCAATGTGAAACAGTCATAAAATGGTGGAAATGGTGGCGGAAATTATTTTTAACTCTAACTATTAGCCAAAACCACCCAATTATTGATAATCAGAAACTTTCAAAACTGTATATTTTTAAATCGTTTAATGGTTTTACCATTAAACTTTGTACCACACCTCAACTGAGAAGAGACCTAATCTGATCAAGATTATCCGGATTCACAGAACAATTTTGTATTTCAAGATTTTCAATCTTTCAATGAAAATTCATTTTATTTTCCTTGATATAAGAAACCTTATCTTGGTAAAAAAATACAAATAAATATAGTTAAATTAAGACATGCGAAGAAACGCCTATT